ACATATAAGATCATTGTTTTTTATTTATGATAAGAAACGTGTTTTTAATATATAAATATAAAAATAAAAATAAAGATATTACCATTGTATACAAATGCATAAAAATTTATTCAGAAAATGAAGTATCAATTTGTCAAAATTTTTTGCATTTTGTCATTGTAATTGTACATGATTATCGTTAGATTAAAAAACATAAATAGAACACCTGTATCATCCTGGATATTGAATGAGATTTTTGTCGTGTCTTGCTCAATATGACGTACGATTCCAACAATGGACAAAACGTTTACAGTTCTGCCGGCGATTTGCAGATCTCCTGTGGTGGACGTGATATGTTTTATTAATACGGGAACAATAGTCTTGTCATTTTGTGGCCCTTTCTTGCCAGTACCAGTCCCCTGCGTGCTATCGTTCATAAATCCACCTTCACCCATGGAACTTTCGTTATTCCACATGATTACAAATGATAATCACCGAGAAAACGTAAAATGAAACTCAAGAGACTGAAAATCAATCAAATTCAGCTTTTCGATAAATCTCAATATCCGAAAACAGAAGAGCTGAATTTACGCGCGCAAAACGTAAATTAGGTTAGAAACCCAATTTGATGATTTCACTTTCATCACTATTAAGGTTTTCATGTTACAATTAGAATGAAATCATACGGTGCGGAAAAGGGCTACGGAATAGAGAATGCGTCATTGAAAACAACCAATTAGCACTATTCGGAATAACACAGAAGAACGCTGATTGGTTGCTTCTATGACGTATTCTCTATCCTTTTCCGCACTGTGTGATTTCATCCTTAGAGTAAAATCACACGATGCGGAAAAGGGCTGCAAAATAGAAAATGCGTCATTGGCCTAGTTTCCACCGAGGGTTTAATCCGGATCAGAATGTAAGAATCAACCAACTACAGTCGCGTATTTCCTTATTACAATCGAACGACAGGGGAATGCTCGACTATAGTTGCATGAATTTAATTTAAAAATTACTAACTTTATATTAATAATTTAAGAATTATATTTTATTTTAATAAATTATATTAATAACTTATTAAAATAAAATATAATTTTTTTCAAATTGTAAAAACAATTATCACTGTGTAGTTTAATGTTTTACAATCTCATAACAATTTTTTGAACTGCTTTAACTCATTTATTATCATTTTTTCGCATTGCGTAAATATAGCACAAATTGGCCAGTCACAATTAAGTATGAGAAGAATAATCGACTATGATTGGTTAATTTCTTACCGCTCGTCGCTTATGACTCTATTGTAGAACAGATCTAAGAATTTCAACCTATCAGAAACTGTGTCTTTCACAATACATTTCCGATAGGTTGAAATTTTTATTTTGTTCTCTGTTCCCTTTATTGTGCGGAACTTCTTTTTAAATTTTGCCCCATGGGACAATAAAAGTAGAATGCTAAAATTATAGAATACTTTCTCTACAGCACAAATCTACCAATCATCATGTAGTTGCGCAAACGCAATTGCGCACGTTAATCATCAAAGTGTACTATTGGGTCATCTAAAAAATGTCGTGGTTTTTAGATGACCCAATGTGTTTAGTGTGCGATTGTCATTCTGAATGCGTCCATTGGGTGCATTTAATATTACAACCGCTCACTGAGTGAGCATAGTGAGCTCTTGTATCTGTTTGGTCTATATTTTTAGTTCTAGCAGAATAAGCCAATCAGATGCAAGAACTCACTAAGTGCTTAGTGAACGCTTGTAGTACTAAATATACCCATTCGACGTTCAACCGCTCTACGAGCAAAGTTAAGTTCCGAAAAAAAGTGTTACAACTTTTCTGTGACTGGTTACACTATATGCGCACAATAAGTATATTGCAAACTGCGCATGCTTTTTATACAATATATTGGGTCATCTAAAAAGTATCCGTGGTTTTTTGTCACTAGATGTGTTGATGGTCATATATCTAGTGACAAAGTACCGCGGATACTTTTTAGATGACCCAATATTTTTAATCAATCGCAAGAACATTGGACCTGACTTGTCGGCATCTTTTTTCTACGTAACGATATTTTTATTCTGCATATCCACTGCGCGCAGCCAACATTTACATAAAGTTAAGGTGCATTTACATGCAAGCGTCAAGCAGCAGAAACAGCAACCAATCAGAGCAATACAGACAGTGGTGTAAAAAATATCTTTTACGCTACTGTAAAAATTGCCTCGTTGATTAGTTGCTGCTTCCGCTGTTTGATGCTTGACGCTTGCATGTGAATGCACCTTTGAGCGTTTCCTCGTGCAGAAGCCATTAGGATCTTAGGTGAAGTTTCTGAACACATTACATATACATACATGCGCAATAAACTATTGCGCAGCAACTGTGCAATAGACATCATCGATACTAGCGCACTCTGTAATAAATTTTCTTTGTTTGGATTAAGGTCTGTTTAGATGCAACTTGGTCACATGACATATCCAATTGACCAATCATATATCTGATATGGAAGACGCCATATTGCTTTTCTTGTATAATGCCAAGTCATTGTATGAGCATATTCGTTTCAACAGGCCTTTAGCTGTTTCTATTCTTCTTTTTTCTCAATCGTCATATACGACTAAAGCTTTCTACTGTTCTCTTATGTAAGGGTACCATTCCCGAAAATAAAATTTCCCTAACGATGGACCAATAACAGTGCACATACGGACATTAATAATATTCCAATCTTTGTATTCGGTTATCGCATGGACAAAAAGTACCATAAATTTTCTGCGTGAAGTACTTTTAGAGCCTTCATTTTCTTTTCTGTCGTCATAAAAACGGAAACTAAAGACCAGTTCAGACCAATTTTCTGTCGATCAAGCACCAACTTGTCATTGAGATGTGAACTTTTATGTACTTTCATGCATATATCTTCTGAACGAATCATCTACGAGGCCAACGAAATAATTAGAAGCAAGGCAAGTAGAAAAGCTAGCTGCCTTTCTTCTTTCGGAAATAAAGTTCGGCGCGTTCATGAATTCCATAAAGTTACTATTTCCAAGAGACCGAAAATGCGTGTTTGCGCACGGACTCCTTTCTTAAACATTTCGCAAATTACGCATGATTGTACTAAACATCAAATGTTTTTTTGGTTTAATAAAGATGTTTAATAGGACGTCATTGCAAAGATGGATGATTATCCATCGAGAATATATTGTTTTTCGTGATCGGTATGTATATGTTACTATCAGTATGTCGCTGTTTGACAGGAAGTTCAAGATATTTCGGGAGGCATTGAGTTACGAGTTTATTTGGCGGTAGCACTTGTCCACGATTCGCTATTTCGAACGAGACACCTGATGGAAATGGAAGTCATCTGTATTTCGTCCGATGACGAATCAGACTCGCAAAAGGTTTGACAGAGTTCTATAAAAGTTCTATAAGAATTCTATAAATTAGTAAAGCAGATAAAAATTTTGTGAAATTTCTGGCGAGACTAATTGACTTGGGCTAAATATATTTTTTTTAACATACATTTTTTTACTGGTTTTATTTACCGAATTCGACTACTGGTTACTATTGGCCGAATTGGGTTATATCTAGGGGACTAAGGGAAATAAAAAAAGTAAGGAAAAATGGAATTTTATTCAAATTTCTCTAATAAAATGTCTGCATTGATCTCTTAAAAATTTATTTTATGAGAATGATAGTTTACTATAAGTAAAAAAAAATTCTAATTTATTTCCTTAAAAATGCTGATTCTAAGAAATTTATTATTTCAGGAAAACAAAACGGACAAAGTTCTAACGAAATCTGTAGAGATTAGTAACGGAGCCATTGCTCATGAAGAAACGGAAATTTTACTCAATGTTAATGAGAAAATTGAAGAGAAGAATTTAAAACGAAAAATAATGCATACAAAGGAAGAAATAACTTGTACTATAGAAAAAAGAAAAAAGTTAGATGTTGATCAGGATAAGTTCAAAGTGGAAAGTAAACCTGATATATGTTCTATAGATGTTTTACCTGAGATATATCTTGTTGAATCTAAATCTTGTAATGAACAGCCAAATAAAGACCAGGAAATAAAGACACAATTGATTGTGAAGGAAAAGAAAAAGATATCATATATCTCACAGGACGTTTTTCCTCTATTTATAAGTTTATGTCTACAAAAATGTCCAAAACAGGATAAATCGGAAATGGCCATTATTGTTGATAAGTTAAAAAGACGTTATGAAAATTTAGATCCAATTTATGCTAGATCAAATAATTTTGTTACATTTTTAAATGAGAAGCGCAAAGCTATTACGAATGACAACAAAAAAATATATATGCACATACAGGAAGTGATGAATGAGATGAAGAAAAGGACTAAAAAGAAATCTCAAACATCACAAATTAATGAAATCTACGATGCAGTTCCTTCGACTTCCTATGCTACGAACAATGTACCTATTAATGCAGTAGAATCAGATAATGATAACGATAGTGAGGATGAAGATAGCGAAGAGAATTTTGAAACAAGAAGAAAAATTAAGAAAATATTGCACGCTATGAAAAGATGTGATGCAATTATTAAGAAGCTCGATGAAGAAGAAGTTGATTTTGACGAAGAAAATAATAGTAATTATATGAAAGTTGAAAGATATAAACAGAAAATGACACAACTATATGATAAACTTTGTGAGCTAACAGGAGAAAATGCTGATGCAGGACGTACATATTTACGTCCTAAACATTTAAATGTAACTCGGATTATTGCTGTGGATCAAGCAATAACAAATTTTATTAATTGTAAAATTACTCAACGAAATCGATTGAAAAAAAAAGGAAGTCTTACAGATAATTTAATATTCCCTGATTACAGTGACATCTTGGAATGTGTCAATAGATGTAATGAAAAAAAAAAATTAGGTTTAAAACAAAAAAAGCGAGAACGAATGGGTAAGAAATATGTATCATATCCATACAGCACAGAGTTTGCAGCAATATCACTGGAAAATCTGCAATATTGCTGCAATGTTGCTGCCATATTGCAGCAGTGTTACAGCTTTTGTACAACTTTGTGTTGTAGGGGTAGTTTTAAGTTTATAAGAATTTTTATTTGTATAATATTGGGTCATCTAAAAAATATCCGCGGTTTTTTGTCACTAGATGTGTGTTGATGGTCATATATCTAGCGACAAAGTACCGCGGATACTTTTTAGATGACCCAATATATTTAATCATTATATGTATGTTATGTATTATTATTAGGTGTTGGAATTAATTCGTAGCGTTTTTAATGAAAGAATGTTATTTATTTCACATGAGCATTAAAAAATACATTAATGAAAGTACTTCCCATCACTTGTAAAACGCTACGAATTAATTCCAACACCTAATATATAATACTTTAATTTATAATAATATATATTAATTGTTATTGCAGCAGAGAAAGCTTTCAAAGAACTTGGAGAATACTTGCAACGCTCAAGGCGTAATGATTATTGGGATACTTTTTCTTTGTATCTTGAAAATTCAGAAGATCCAGCTACAAAAGATAAAGATTTAGCGAAAAAACTTGCTGACAATCGTATCGAGGGTGAAAAACAATTAGCTGCAGTATTTGAAAAATATACAAAAAAACAAACGGAACTAAGAGATCAAAATAATGAAGAAATAATTTCGGAAGAGGAAGAAGAGGAAGATGAAGATGAAGAAGTAGAAATAGAAATAGAAAGTATTACATATGAGGATGATAAGAGTGATGATATCTTGTCTGTATCAAGTGAGGAGGATAATGAGAAAGAAGAAAATGCAAATAAAACGGTTAAAGTAAATAAATTATCTGTGAAAAAGAATAAACCTAATATAAATATGATAAATATATATCATGCTATGGATATTTCAAATAAAACTATAGCAGATACCTCACCAGAAAAATGTAACAAAACAATTGAAATAAAAGTTGGAGAAGAGAGTAATATGACAGTATCAAATAAGACAATTAGTGAGAAAATAGTTCAGAAATCATGCAGTAGCAGCACTATTCCAAGAAATGTAACAGATAAATCATGTAGTAGCGACACTATTCCAAGGAACATTGTGACAGATGTGGATAAACCATGCAGTAGCAATACTAGTCCAAGGAATGTGACAGATGTGGACAAATCATGCAGCAGCAACACTATTCCAAAGAATGTTGTGACAGATGTGATTAAACCTTGCAGTACCAACATTATTCCAAGGAATGTTGTGACAAATGTGAATAAACCATGCAGTAGTAGTACTATTCCAAGGAACGTTGTGACATATGTGGATAAACCATGCAATAGCAACACTATCCCAAGGAATGTTGTGACAAACGTGAATAAACCATGCAGTAGCAGTACTATTCCAAGGAACGTTGTGACATATGTGGATAAACCATGCAATAGCAACACTATCCCAAGGAATATTGTGACAAATATGAATAAACCGTATAGTAGCAGTACTATTTTAAGGAAAGTGGATACCATTAGCAAAAAGATAGTTCATATACCTATATGTAGTAGTAGCAGCACTATCCCAAGAAACAAAAATGTGAAAAATGTTGTGGATACTACTAGCGAGAAGGTTCATAAACCATGCAGTAGCAACACTATCCCAAGGAACGATGTGAAAAATATGGATACTACTAACGAGAAGATTCATAAATCATGCAGTGGCAACCATACTTCAAGGAACTCCACAAACGATATGAAAAATGTGGATAACAAAAGGCAAGAGGATTCGCTATCAGCGGCTTCTACATCAAACTACACAAGTAGTGTATATACATATATTAATAGAATTGGAGATACATAAAATAAATAAATAAAAATAGAAGAATCATAAACATTATTTTATATGTTGTAGAGGATCTAGCAGAGGCCAAAGTGAAAGATGAATTCAAAGTTATAACAGATCCTGCAACAAAGAAGAATGTGGCATCTATGGTAACCAGCATGGAAAATACAGCAGAAGTAGCAATGAAAAAAGTTATGGATGAAGCAATCGCAAATATGCCAAATAATGAGCAATTGGAAGATGAAAAGAAACCTCTACTGCGAGTGCGTTCATTCGCTAAACCTCCCAGGACTTGGCAGGATAACCAACATAAAACAGACAAGACCGCCCCAAAAAATGCGCCAAAGGTAGCAAATCAAATTAAAGAAATTGTTGATTTGACTAATGAAGGAACGGTTAAACCTATTGCTACCAAGTGTGCTGTACAACTTGGAAACAAAGTAGTTCCCATAGTGAAACGTCACACAGTGTTTCTACCATCAAATAGCAATATAATTAGCGTCAAAAATATTACGAATAATTATTTAAAGGTAAATACGCGAACAGGTCAAATTATAGCACCTGTGCATGATATTCGCACAAGAGGTACAATAATCCGACTGCCAGTTCAAACTACCAGTCAGAGTCAACTGCAAAACACAAATGTAACGAACGAAGTATCTTTGAAAGGAAAAACGGTTTTAAAAATTGTACCTACGAAATCGATTATCTTGCCTAAACCATCCGCAGTGCAATCCGTCTCCAAGCAAGCGGATATGAGTTCATCAACAACACAATCCAAATGACTCAAATATATAGTAAGGGCTGTTCTTTTAGATCATTGTTATACAAAAGCGACAGCGATTCGATAAATTTATCAAGATTAATGTTTTTAAATTTACATTTAATGTGTACATTAAATATTTCTAGTTTATAAGCCAAATATATAAAGAGATATAATAATATAATTCTTAATAAATCTTTTTAGCAAATTTAAATTGTATATTGCGTTGAATACAAAGTGCCTTATAACAAATTCCATTAACTTTATATGTTCATCTAATAAAGGATCACATCGACTGGAGACACTTCAATATCAACTTAGCAAGATGATAGTTCGGATCCAGAAGTTTCTCCACTATATCAAAGTGGTCGATGTCCTGAAGTAACAGGTATTCCACATTATCCACAATAGAAATAAGTTTCTAAAACAATAATACAATGTTAGTTTGATATATACTTAATTTGCGCAGTTATTCAAATACAATAGGTTCAATTTTTATTGCTGCACTAAAACTTTCCTTGTTATTTTCACCAAATTTGAAACATGTTCATTTCACTTATAGTTCAGGGAGTGTATAATTTAGCTACAAAAAACAGATCTAATATTTAATCAAGTACCTGGGCGTATTTACGCGATTCATCCATAAACGCTGGGGAATCGCAATCACCTACGACTACGATAACTTTCAAATTAGTGATACGACGGCCTTTTGCTTCGTCAAAGGAAGGACTGAATTTCTCAATTTCTTCGCTGAAAATGATAATTTATGTATATTTGTTATAAGAAATATATATGTTCGTTATATATATTAAAAACAAGTATACACAAGGACTCTGTATATAATTACTCAGTCAATTTAAGAGCAGCTGCAAAACTGATATTACTTATAGGTTTTAAATTATAAAGGCCGCCTATCAGTATGATTTGCTTTAATATTGCAAAATATCCTTTCTTTGTCATGCGATTGATCCAATCGTCATCGTGTAATAAACATGAAGCCAAATGTGCTCCAGCACTATGTCCAGCAATGCTCACGTATCTATGTACATTACACATTTGTATTATAAGCAATTCGTTTTCTATTAAAATTTTGTACTTAATAGTTAAGATGTAAAAACGTACTTAGAGCCTGAATCAACTGCATATTTTAATATCTGCGCGACCGCTGTCTTTATCTCTGCTACTATATCCCCAATTCTGACTGAAAAATATTAAGAAATAATTTATTAAATTATTTTATTATATGATAAGATAATCTTTTAATCTGAGACTTTCGAATATTATTTATATACGTAAGTTTCGAAATATTGTAAAATTTATTTCATAAACGTGTTTCATCCTTTTAGCTATACGCGTTTTAAAAAATTTTTGAAATTTTAAATTTTGTGTGTGTGTGTGTGTGTGTGTGTGTGTAGATGTAAATTAATAAATAATTAAAGACAAATGAGATAAAAGACAAATGAAAGACAAGACAATGATATAATTCAATATTTTCTTTCTCACCATTCGGACACAAATCGTATCCAACTGTTATTACTTTGATCTTATTTTTAACAAACAAAGGTACCGAGAAGCCAGTGAGATCCTTGCTGAATTCTTGCCAATATCCACCATGGATAAATATAAATATCGGCGCATCTAAAATACACAACTGTTTCAGTATGATATAAATACAAATATAAAATATATCAATTCATTAGAAAATAATCTACAATTTAACATCTTGCAGATTGATGAAAGAAATGAGCAGATTATTACGGAATAAGAAAATATTAATATATTTGCGATAAAAATAATTTTCTTGACATTCATATATTTTATTTCAATTTTAAATGAACCAAATTATACGCGTATATATAAACTCATGTTTATGTAACGAAAGAATAAATAATTCAAGCCAAACTAGATATAATTTGCAAATGAAAGCTTCAACAGAAATTTTATCGAAAACGCAGAAAAATTAAATAAAATAATAGAATAAAATAATTTCAAGTATTAATTTTATAAGTTTATTTCTTTTAAAAAACGTAAAAAACAATTTCTTTATTTCTTTTGTTTCTTTTTTCTTTCTTAGGCTGTGTTCCAAATTTACTGCCAATACTAAAAATGCTACAGTTTACATTACGTATACTATAGATTTTTAGTACTGGCAGTCAATTTTGAAACATAGCCTTAGAAATACCTATAATTATGAAAATATAATGATATAGAATAAAATAATTGTAAAAATAATTTTTTTTTTATTGAAAATTAAAGTATATTGTTCCAGAAGTTCGGCACCTAAAAATTCCATGAAATCGTTACATTTATATACATACCTTTCGGTAAATCGACACCATATATGTCATATTTTGCGCGCTCTGTAGGACCATATGGTACATTAAGTTCAGATTTAACAGTTTTCCGAGTCTCTTCCGTAACTGCAACACAAAGACCTTCAGTGATCACATGATTCATCTGACACACCTTTCTTGCATAATAATAGTACGATCAGAAAAATCTTATGGTTTTTCTATTGAGAAAATTAGTATAATATTGATGCACATAAATTAATCTTTTAATTTTTTTAATTATATCTATGTTGTCATGATAACATATAACTAATTAAAGGATTAAGTTATTTATTAATACTGAAAATATGTAAACCGATTTGTATTATATTAAATTGCACCAGTGTTGCATTAGTTTAGTTGCATTAAATAAAGCTCTCGAAGAGAGCTACGACTATCAAAATTATATAATTTTTGATTGTAGAGAAAAACAAATCTTACCTTCCTCGCAGAATTTCAAGAAATGTGCTTGCAGCTCTTCAGAATTATATCGTTTGCTCCATTCACTCGGGGTGTACAGTCGCTCATAATCCTTTAACACACAAATAAAACATAATCAATCAAATAAAACATTAAATAAGTCGCAAATTTAATTTTAACCTATTGAGAGAAAACATGATCGCAGAATTTCGTCGAGATTACGTACATGGAGAGACATCCTCGATTAATCGCTTGACAAGAAAATGATTAGGAGTAATCACTGGTTGTTACTCCAAGCAACGCCTGTTAGAAACTATTGCGCAGTTTTCTTTAGTCAAGATATACGATATCTCTAGTATACATAAGCATATATAACACACTCCAGTGACTTTCTTGACTTTATCTAAGTGACTTTATCTGTTTAATGTATGTATAATATATTAGAATTTCAGGTATGTGTCTTATGTCGCTAAAGTGAATGGCAAATAACGCCGACATTCACATATTAATAATATCAATTTTATCAAGTCCTCGTGTCATTATCATTATGTAAAGTTTTACAAATTTGATTGACAGTTTTATATCTCATATCTTATTGATTGAAATATATCAATAATTTTTATTGTATTAATCTAAACCGCCCAGAGAGCACAAAGTCATCTAAAAGATAACTAAAAGACGACTAAATTGTTATAAAAGATATCTTTTAGCGAAAGAATATAGTCGACAAAAAGATGATTAAAAGACGACAGACAGATGTCGCACTATTAATCTTATAGTCTTAGCCATATGTTATCTAAAGAATGACTTCTTTAGATATCTTTTAATTGTCTTTACTTCTTTTAGTTTTTATACTTTGATACATATAACGTTTAATAATACATCGAATTCCTAAATTAATTTTTATATAAAACAAAATAAAATTGCATGACTGACAATATACGTCCCATTTCTTGCAATCTTTGTCGTGTCCTATGTGCAAGTCATTATCTTTCATAGTTCCCTTTGGGGACTCGATTGCAAAACAATATTTGTTTAGTATTTATTAGAACGTGAGTAAAATTTCTTATAATGCTGTATCTTTTATTCTGTTCCGTATAATTTTCAAACACGAAAAACTGAACTCCATCACATCCATCTGGTGGCGATCTCGCGTATTGCTCGCGAATAAGTGATAAAAAATACCAAAATAACAGAAAAATATCTTTTTCATGTTGTTTTTTCGGCAATACGAAAAGATATCTTTTAGTCGACCTTTCCAGCAAACAAAAATGGATTGAAATGGATTCAGATTTTCAAGTAAATATTGATTTAAGAATGTTAAAATGAATGCTTTTCAATCCTGAATGCATTTTTTCTTTTATAGGAATTGTATGGAACATATCTCTACCTCTGCCTTTCAATCTAAAAATAATATTAGCTTTTTCTGTGCATTGTGAATACTGTTCAATTCAAAATTTTGAATAGGAAATGCATTTTTTCAATCCAATTGAATCCAATTAAATAAAAAAAAAAGTGTTCGCTATTTAAAATACGCATTCGGATAGAAAAAAAATTCAATCCATTTTAATCCATTCTCGTTTACTGGGTTTTATTTTGCGAAAATGGCAATCATGACGAAAAGATATCTTTTTTAAGTTATATTTCCGACAAAACTAAAAGATGTCTTATAGACATCTTTTGGTCCCGCTAAAAAAATAATCTAAAAACAATGTCTTTTCGTCGTCTTTTAAACACTTTTCGCTTTGCCGAAAAGACAACTTAAAAATGATCTCTTTTCGTTATCTTTTAGTATTTTGTGCTATCTGGGCGTTTGTTTTGAAAACGTTTTGATTACATAAAATAAATAGTTCTTCCAATACCTTATTACGCAAGAAACATTTATATGTTCATAAGTTGTAGATTACATGCTGCAAAATCAGGAAACAGTTATGTTATACTTCATCTGCTATTTTCTACATTTTACCTGAGGGATATCCTGGAACATCTTTATTAGGATGTAGGAGATCTTCTAGATATCTTTAGGTTCCTCCTTAGAGATACCTTGAAGATCTGTATTACAGTATGGTTCCTGAAATAAAAAAAATTAAATTAACAATTCAGTAATAGCCGTAATAAACATCAAACTTTTTAAAAATGTTTAAATTTTCAATAAAAAAATATCCCATTGTTTTTTATTCCCTTCATTCCACAGTTTTATATTTTTATAATTATGTTCACTTTAACTTTATATAAAAAAATGTTGTAAAGAATAAAATCCATACAATTACATAATATATACAGGGTGATTTTAACATATTTCGTCAACCATCATGAGCAGGTAGAGTGAATCGAACTGAGTCGAAAAGTCATCTACCATTTTGCAGTTTAAAAATCATTTATTTTCTTCTCATAGAACTCTAAAAATTTTTTCAGAATTTTTTATTAACTTTTTAGTGCTGCATTTTCTTATTTTTACCAACATGAGAAAATACGGTATTAAAAAATTCTGAAAAAATTCTCAGAACTTAATGAGAAGAAAATAAATGATTTTTATCTCTTGCAGCTTTTCTATAAAGTTGATAATATTTGAGTAAAAAATTATTCAAGACCAATATTTGGCAATTTTTAGTAATTAATATCTTGTTAACTATTGCAAAATGGTAGAGGACTTTTCGACTCAGTTCAATTCACTCCACCTGCTCATGATGGGTGATGAAATATCTAAAATCACTATATATTTATATAATTATATTATAGATTATTAGGTATATTAATATATTTTGAAAATTGTGTGTGTGTGTGTGTGTGTGTGTGTGTGTGTGTGTGTGTGTGTGGGGGGGGGGGGGGGGGGGTTGCGTGCTGGCGGGCGTACATTCGTGCGTGTATGACTGCCTGTATGCAGGACTAAGCATTTAAAATATTTTTATTTAAAAAAATAGTATTTATAAAACAATTGTATTTTGTATTCCAACGGAGTACATGAAAATATTTTACATTTTATATTTCAAATACTAAAATTGTATTATATTTCAAATACTAAAATTGACAATCAATCTTATTATTTGAATTATAATACACAAGAAACTTTCAATTTTTCAATTTTAAGTACAAAATACGTAATATTTTCATGTGTCCCATTGAAATACAAAATACACTCGTATTTCAAATACTATGTTTTAAATAAAAGTATTTCAAATACATGTCCAAGCCTGTATGTATGTGAATATATATACATTTTATACGTTTAAATAAATTTAGACACATATAGAATATTATATTCTACGATAAATTAATCGATGTAAAGAAAACACAGTGCATATATTTGCAAAAAAAGACAAGATATATTATTATTATTATTATTCGTTTATCGGATAGTCACGTGAAGACGTGTACGCATCTCATTGTGCGAAAGTAACGAGAGAAGACTGCAGGAGAGACCACACGAGGTTGCGGAGGTGGAAAACCAGAAAAACCGGCCTTCTCTCCTTTCTTTCTTTCTTAATCTTTCTCTCCGTCCGATCTTCACGCACTTCATTCGCCCTTCGTCTGTGAGAAAGAGAGAGAAAGGAAGGGAGAAGTTACAGGTACCCGCACCAGCTGATGTATCGAGAATCGTGCTGCGTCGACGCCTACCCGCAGGTCGCAGGTAAGAGAAACCCGTCGCAGTCAAAAATTCTCGAGCTGATTCATAGAAATGCCGGACTGACTGACCGGACAGCATTGCAACGGTTTGGGTCGCATCGCCGAAATTTCATTTTGAAAACTGATGATTTCAAATAAAGTTCATTCATTTAGCAATTTAAAAAAATTCCAGATTAACAAAAGAGTGTATTCCAGAAGAATTCACATTAGAGATTTTTTTTTAACAAAATAATAAATTTCAACGAGTAACAGTAGTTCTCATATTCTATATTTAAAAGACAGAATTGCAAATGTTATATAGATACCTGTAATGGTATAAAGAAGAAAAATAAGAAATTAGTAGTAACATTTGTCTTATATATTAGATAGGAATTTTTTCTCATAAATCGGATAAATATGTAAAAATAAATACTATTATATTCGTATGAGATTACAAAATGTATACATTTCGTGGTAAAAAAAGATATTTAATAAAATTTATATTATAACAAAATAAAGATAAAAGTATAGAATAATATAGACAACAAAAATTAAAATTCCGTTTCTCTCCGTTTCACTCTTGGCTTTTTTTTCAAGATCAACTCTCATGATAGTTGAAATATCAAAAAAGTTACTGACCTCAAATTTTTGAAAAGGATCGGATGGCTGTTGTATCATAAACGTTGATTAGATTAATACTATAGTCACAAATAAGGTCCAGATAAACTATCCTTCTGGGAATATAATTATAGCAAATGGAATTGAAGAAAACGTAATACATTAACTATAAATTTTAAAAAATTAGTTTCCTTCAAACGCTGGCAAAATTAATCTTTTCATGACAACAAAACCAAACGAAATTAAAACTGTATTCTTTTCTATTATTCATTAAAACTTTAACTTTTAATTTAATCTAGTTAGAACTTATAATTTTATAGAGTCATATAAATTAAACTTTTGGCACACAAATTAAATTAAAATATACATAAATTTAAATTAAAATATTTAGTCAAAAATCATACTTCTATAAAAAAAATTCTATAGTTCATCTAATGACTTAACAGTATATAATAACAACAGAACAATATGATGACGAGAAAATTAAATGATAAAATGGTTATATTCATTTGTAATAAAACAAAATAAGAAAGTTATTTTGATGAATGAGTACAAACAATTCAAAACGTATATTTCAATGCAAGCAGAAAACATTTTTGGACCTGTTAGAAAAATATATTGAATGTATCAACTGACTTTTTTCTCTATATCTGGTAAATCTCTTTGTCTATTTTTGTATCACATTCACATGATGAAGTTCAAAGATAAAAGAAACGTATCTTTTCGTTGACACGAAGGCATGTTACATGTTGAAATAGTCGGATTTTTATGGTTCTTGATGGCCCTTCTCGGCTTACGCACGCTTTACTATGGCTCTTCCATAGCAAGGAGAAATCAACAGTGATGGGTTAATTTATTTGACCCACCGAGTAGACGACAGCAATTAGTACTGAACATGATGCTGAATATAGGTATTCCTTATATTTTACGTTGCGTTCACGATAATGACGGAAATATGTGCGACCATGACACTAAATATGAGACGAGAGCAGATAAGATCTTTCTTGACCTGGCCTATTTCTAACGAAAGACAGTATCTAACAACAAAAATTGAATAAATAGATATAGTATAATAATTAAGATAAAGTTTCAATATTGGATGAAGACAAAAAATGTTAAATATACGAAATTAAGGAGATGCTGTAGTTGCCTATATTAAACTA